ATTCGGGGATCGTCAAGTTGCCCATCTTAACCCCACGCCAAAGAATACGAGCACCGAGGGTTCTATTGGGACCCGCGATGGTCTTGCCGGAAGTCCAAGACTCGCAGGAAATGTTTACTTGGTGCTCAAATTCCGTATAAATTAACTTTGTCATATGTGAAGATGAAGATAATATAGTAAAGTGGAATAGTCGTTCCACCAACAAGTATAAAATGTCACAATCACAATGTATGATCGAGATGGATGCGGTAGTTTTACTGATGGATGGGCAATGAAGGACAGTGAAGAAATTACTGAAAAAAAAAATCGAAAGCTTGATGACAAAGGTGATGAAAAAGAAAAGGTTGAGCTCAGTACTAGTGTTGTGTATTAAAAACATTAAAAGACTCTTAAGATTTTTCAGAGACGGTCCGTAGTCCAAATAACTGTAGAATTGTGAAATTTTTTAAACCTGCAAATTTAGATGTAGGGAATATAAAAGATAATTTTACCCCGACGAAGAATAATAGTATATCAGATAAAAGGTAACACAACCTTATGATTCTAAGCGTATATGTCATATCGGCCGCAAATAGAACCAGGGATTCGATGTACTATCGGACGTTTTACCACCGAGCCACAAGCTGTTACAACAGGATACCTGTGTTCAGAATGAAGCAAAAGGAAGTACGCAACAACTATAACACTTACTACATTAACCACCAGAGCAGGGTGCTATTAAATAGTGCTATTAGATAGTACCCTGCTAGGACGGTAGATTGTGAAGTTGACTTTTGTTGTTGAACTGGCAGATAGTTAATCCACGACTTATGTCCACGACTGAGAGAAGCTTTGAGCTCTCTTAATATAGTTGTGTGGCTACCAATGATAGTGCACGCGTCGGACAGAAACTACTGACTGAGATGACCTCTCTGTCGTTAGGGGTTGGCACCGCCATGTCGATCCTAAAGGAAGTGTTGGCTACCATGGCTACAACGTTGTCCATACAATAGGTGTGCTCGAACAAGTAGTACGAACAAAGCGTTGAAACGCACCACATATTCAGAATGTCTAACTTGACATGGAGACGCCTTGTCCGAACGCTGTGGCTTATGTTCCGTAAAGACCGTGGTTTCTTTTCAAAATGATTGATCGCTGTACACATGGTCAGCAACTATCTACCATATGTGCTGTATCGATTCTACTCGTCGTTCAGTTTTTGAGAGAAAAATCTCAAAGGTGTTTTACTGGTTAAAGCTACTCCAGGATGTCCCCTAATAAGGCTGTGTCGGAGAGGTGTCCCCTCCTAAGAGCCAGCTGTGAGGCAGGAAGGAAAAAGGCGGTGCAGGCTACATTGGCGATTAAATTTTTTAGCCCTTCGCGGTCGATGGTTCGCTGATTTGTTGTTTTCCGTAGATGGTGGATAGGCGTCGTGTTTTCTGCAGATGACGTGCTGTTGGGGCAGGCTCTTAGCCAGGCGCGGCAAGATGTTTCATTAATTTCCCTGATTTGTTTTATTCGTTTTTTCTTATTTAATTTTAATAATAACTTTGAAGAAAACGAAATTTAGCTATGTTACTAGATAGCAAACAGAACCCGGAAACCACCCTGTTTTTTTTTAAAGGAATCAAAAATCAGTAAAATTTATCAAAGGAAATTACCTTGGAGTAGCAAAGCCGGTTGGTTCCTGTAGCCACCTGATCAGCTAAAATACTCGAAATTACCTTTACACAAATGAACAACAAATAAAGATGAAAATACAATATATTATATTAATAATAATACCAATTACAACCAAAGTAGTAAATTTATTCTTCCTTATACCAAACACAAAGCAAGACGTAATGCTAAAAATGATACAAAAGTTGAATGAAATATTAAACAAATTATACTCAATCAATTAGCTTGAAAAACAAAAATGCATACATGTCCATTAAAAACAAAGTGATACAACATAGATAATAGGTGATACAAACAAACTGTGAATGCTGCCACACGCCGCGTACAAGACTGTTCGACCACCGCAGCCATAGATAATATCGCATCGGTGAATCCCTGCTTCACACACAACTCATAAAACCTGACAAGACACTGCCAGCGAGTGTGATAAGTCGCTCCCATAGAGTAGCGATAGAATCCAGGTAACGTGCTTTTCCACCAAATAAAAGCCATTACAACGATTAACTCTTCGGGGTCATCACTATGGTTCTGCATGCAGTGTGCTGTTGATACAAGGTACTTCTTAGATACTAAAACAAAAGCATACACTCAAAGAAACACACGCTACTGCACGAAAATTATAACTCCAATGAAAGAATACAATTATAACTAATTACAACTTACATAGAAACTAAACAAATCGTCATAAGTAAAATACAGGGCTCGTCGAAAAGGAACAGCGCGTCGTAACCCTAGACTAGGTAAATAGATGTAAAACTCTCGAGATTTGGACGATAGTAGTGACATCTAAGTTTACCCCACATTAGTACACGATACTTGGAATATATATATAAATGGTATTGGCAAAGAAAACTTCGAATTTCACTGCCATCTATACATCAAACTATGAAGCGTAACCAAAGGCGCGCATTTCAAAATTACACCAAATTTTATTTTTTTTTGTTTTAAATGGAAATTGAAAAAAAAAACAAAAATAAAATTAACAAATTTAATAACAAAGTATAAATGCAGTAATAAATATAATTAGCACAATATACGAGTAAATAGCAAACATCAATTAATTAAAACATAGATAATAATACAGGTATATTTGTATGAACAAAGAAATTGTTCTTTACCTAATTTAGTACTGCTTCCTGCTTCTACAGGGGGTGCTAACGATTCAGAAACTGCAGAAATACTAGCTTCTGTATTGTCCATTGTGAGTGTACTTTCTATAACAAATAATTATATATGTTTTGGATATTTGAAACTGTTATCTGCATAACTACCTGCAGTTGAAACAATTCTTCTTTTCCCGTCATATGTTTTCACTGGATGCAGTACTTTTTCATCTTTTAATGGGGCAATTCCGTCTGCTTCTATTCCTCTACCAGAAGAAGTTCTACAAAACATTTTTTTTAGAACTTAAGTTTCACAACAACAAATTACAATACCTGCCACTTTCGTTGGAACCGCTGTTACTTCAGGAAAATGGAAAGCGGCATCTTGACCTTTAACTCCTGCAGGAACTGTATAATCTAGGTAGAACATTTCAAATTAATTTGACCCCGTAATAGTGTAGACTGTACATCACGGTTTTTCTGTGTTGGGCAGAAAACATCCTTTCTTTACTTATTGTAAAGCATGATTGAAGTACTTAATATATTACTTACTTTCAGGATAGGTAAAAGTACTTTTCACAAAAATTTTAAAATATTACAAGTTGTGAAACTACTCACTATTGCTCAATAACGCCACAACTACTGGGGAATTCCTCCGATAATCGCAACCGCCGTCGCATCATCTGTTGTCGTTTCAGTAAAATGTATGTCGCCTAGTATGTCGGTAATGTCAATTTTGGTAAATTAAAAAATTTAAAAACTTACATGGGGTAAACTTAGGTGTCGCTCGCGCTCGACATTTCATACCCTGGTCGTAACCTCGTTGCGTGGTTGGGGCGAAAATGTGGCCCCTAAAGTAAAAAAAAGAAAACAAATAGTAACTATAATTAGTAATTATTATACTTGTATGCTCTTATAAATGATCGCGTATTTCCCGAAATTTGTCGAAGTTTACAAAATATATAGTGAAACGTTACTGTTTATTTTCTGTCTCAGTAAGAATTCGAAATATTTATAAATAGTAATAACATTACTGTTGGTTTAAATATAAACCTGATTTTAAGAATAACGTTGACTGCTTATTATATTATCTCTTAATTAATACACAATCGAATGTATATTATGTAAATAGTTAACTTCTACATTGTTTTTGAAATCGGCATTCATATTTGTCTCAAGTCGCAGTGACCTCTTATTACAAAAAATGAACTTTTTTTGGCAATATTTCCTAAAATACCTTTGCAATCTTCTACGTATAAATTATAAAAATAAAAAGTAAATTGTAATGTATCGATTAATATTTTTTTTCGTGAACTTGAAAGAATCTATTACGTTATCCATTTTCAATCCGATGTTTATAAGATGCATGGTTGTATGAGATAATACTTCCAAAGGCCGACCTGAAGAAAAAGATTCCGCCGTTAAAAAATATTGAAGCAGAAATTTTTGCAAAAGTTATTTTTTAACATTCTAATAAATGTGAATTTACTCGATAAGATAGTGTAGTTATATGTAGGAAATTGTTGTTAGTTTTTAATTATTTATTTATTGAGTTGACATTTTCGTTTAAATGAAGCAGGTACTTATTTAATATAGAAACGAGTTGTAGATAAATGTTTTGCTATTCAACTAACCTCAAAAGTAAAGTAACAATGCTATCGGATAATTTTATTTTCAAAAACTTAATTTTATGTTTGATGGTCTGTTTTATTGCTCAAAATCACTTTTCTAAACTGTAATACGTTAATGGAAAAATCACGCTAAAATATATTTACTTCCAGACATTATCTAGTAAGTGGAGGAAGATATTCAACAATGAAGCCAACTCCTTCCAAACGCACGTTACGCATTGAAAAAAAGAAAAAGAAAATGGCAGCATTTCTGGAAATCTCAAGATTAAATGAACTTGATCGTGCAAACCTTAATAAAAAATCAAAAACAGACAATGATTCTCTAAATAATGCTGCAATTATAGAATCAGAACCAAGTCCAAAACGGTTTTGTAATGACATAGAAACCACAGATGAAACAATTGGTGAAATTAACAATGATAATGATAAAAACATAACTCCATCAGGAAAACCTTTACTAGAAGGAGAAGAATACAAACTGCTTAAAGCTAAGCTTCGGTTGAAAACTAGAAAATTAAGAAATCACCCAGTTTTCCGATTACGAGAAGCTGGAGAAAGTGCATGTATATCTGTTGACATCAATGACAGAATGCCATTATTTGTTTCTGATATACAGCATTTATTACTATACTGTTTATTGGGTCACCATTCACCATATAGTCCTGCAAGATGGTGTCAATTGGAAAGATTTCCTAAAATACAACAAACTAATGTATTAATCATAGACAATATATCACTTTATCACTATCATGCATATGAAAGTTGTTTTCCCTTTCTAAGTGGTTCTTTTCAACATAAATTAGAAGTTGTGGCACCTTTTGCATATAAAGGTGATATTGTGACTGATTTGTTGATGGTTCCACTAACAACAACACAAGTTCGCAAGTACGTAACTGAATTTGGAACTCTTGAAGATGCTGTTGTAAAAAGTGGAGAAGTTTATGATCAAATAAAAGATTTATTCCCACTACATGAAAACATCTGTAAGTATAATTTAATTATTAATAATAATCAAAAACAAAATACCTTCAAACTTTTAATCTATATACGTAATATCAATTGCGAAGTAGTATGTTGCAGGATCTTTTTTTGGTTAATTAAAAAAGTTAATGCTCGAATTCAATTTACGCCCGATACATTGCCGTTTTTGTTACTTAAATAACACAATTGACCGAATTTCGGTCAAGAACTGTAAAAACTAGTTGAACTAGATCTGATAATAGAAACAGATATACTGAAATTTATTTAGATTACAAATTCGTCAGGAAAAAGTAATGAGTCGTGCATTTTACAATAATATAAAATATAATTGCTCAAAATTGAACCACTGCAGAATACCAGATATCTAAATTATGCATAAGTCTTTTAGCTTTATTTATTAGATAGTATTGTGTGTTTGTGTCAGAATTCTGAGTTCCTTTGATAGCTTGCCTTTTACATTCAAAATGACTACTTACTGCACTTAGTTCACGGGCCTTATTGAACGGCAGTGTTCCTTCTCTAGGAGGACTGCTGAAGCCTGTGCGTGTTCTGGCGTGTCATTTTTTTTGTTTTCGTGTAAGATGGAAGATCTTCAAAAGATACCCAGCCTTCCGCACGACGGGTAGTGTTTAAAATAACAAAATTAGTATAACTACTTCCCTTATACTCGAAAATTAGTCGTATTTGATAATAGTTTTAAAATGTACAGAATTTAACTCCGTATAGGGAGTATAAATAACATTTTGGTATCTTTATTTTAATGGTTATAGAGAACTACAGTGGGTTGGGGTTGGGTCCTGTATATAAGACATACTTTACAGTTTAATAATTACAACTCCATTTTAACTAAACGATTATCAGAAATTTTGGATTACTGTAAAATTTCATTTAATGTATTTCATAAAAAAATGTTAACTTGCAGCTAAAGCTGTGGACGGCCTTCCAGCTACTGATAAATTTCCGAGGACCCACTTGCTTTTGTCAGGTTGGCAGATGGTAGAAGAAAATTTTCCTTTACCAATTAAAGGACTAATGGAAACAAAATATACTGGCTATGTATTAACAAAGGATGAATATAAAGACGTCACACCATTCAGCCCCATGTTTGGACTTGATTGTGAAATGTGCAGAACAACTACAGGTGATTTAGAACTAACTAGAATTTCGATTGTCGATGAAGACCACAAAGTGTTTTATGAAGAGTTAGTTAAACCTGATAATAGAATAGTCGATTATTTAACGCAATTTTCGGGAATCACCCCGAAAATGATGAAAAATGTGACAAAGAAATTACAAGATGTTCAAAAAGACCTCAGGAACCTTTTACCACCAGATGCTATTTTAGTGGGACAATCTCTTGGTAATGACCTTCATGCCTTGAAAATGATGCATCCATACGTCATTGACTCCAGTGTAATATTTAATTTAACTGGAGACAGAACTAGGAAAAGTAAATTGCAGCTTCTAGCTAGAGAGTTTCTATTTCAACATATACAACAAGGAAGGGGTGGGCATTGTTCAATTGAAGATAGTAAAGCTTCTTTAGAATTAGTTCAGCTTAAACTTCAAAATGATATCTTTTTTGGAGATGCTGTTTTGAATGGTTTGTCTGCACAAAAGCATCCTCAACTGGGTCATCCATATTTTGCAACGAGTTTCTTTAAACAAATTGCAAGAGCTAACAAACCAGTCTCGGTTATTTCCCTTCCTGATGTAGCAAAAAGATACAAATTCTTTCTGAACAAAGGCAACAACAATGTTGACGATCAAAGTAAAGTAACTATTTACTCAAGTGAATGCAACGAGACGGTGATACAAGATTGTATCGAAAAAGGACCAAATGCCTCCATGAATATTGCACACCTTCAAGTAAACCAAAATGATCTCGAAAAAGAACCTGAAACTATTCTCAGACAATTAGACACATGGATCAAAAATTGTTACGAAGCCACTTTTGCACCCAGTTTGAGTTTTGTTATTTTTGGTGGACAAAGAGAAACGGGAAACGGAAGTTGCTTTATTAAAATGAAAAACTTGTTTTAAAAGTGTTTGTGTTATATACTGATTAAATTTTTGTTGTTTATAGCAACTGCACCTCACAAATCAAACTTAAACTGTCATATGTATTGATAAAAATAGGTTTTTTGGAAAATTTGTAATGGCTTATAAGAAATCATTAAAATGTGTCTTTAGGCCGGTATATATTATGTTAATTTACTTTATTCTGTTCTTTTATTTTACCTGAAATTTCCTATTTTATGGCAAATACATAAATATTTGACAGTTATTTGACATTTATTGTTACCAATTTATATTTCCTTAAAAACAAAATATTTCAAAATAAAACATTACAAAGTGCCATATAAGAAATTGTTAGTAATTCTCACCTCAACAACTTCGTTTATAGTCATCCACATGTATCATCTTTTGAACAACGACTGCATAGATTAGAGAATAGAACAGTATACAAGGTGTCTCACGGTGACCACCCTGTACAATATTTAAAAAAAAAAAAAACGATTTAAAATTTGTAGAATGAAGTTATTGGGTATGCTCTCCTCAATTAAAATAACGGCATCTATGTAGCGAGACTGAATTTTGTGGTAATTAGTGGTGAGTCTTCTTTTTAATTTTTTAATTACCTGATAGTATATAACATACCGAAACTATTTTTTAAATATTTATTTGGAAAAAATATTTAAATATTCACTTGTGTAAATATGTAAATACATAAATTAACTTTTATTAATATGTACAACTATTCAAACCATTGTTGGAGCCACAGGCATATTCTCTGTAGATTATTTTCCAAATCTTCAAGATTTCTGTTTTGCAATTCGTGAACTATTTCTTTCTTATAAGAAGACTGAGCTTCTTCTAAAATTGTTTGAAAAATTTCACAATCTATATTATCTTCCAATTTTCTTCCAATATAACCTCTCGACGTAAGTCTATCATACAAAATTGTATTATCCACTCGCAGCACAAATACTATATCAAACCACCGTTCTGGAAAAAATTCACAACTATGATAATCTACTATATTTCCACCATTAGCCATAGTATCTTCTAATCCATCCATTAATTTGTCTTCGTCTAGAACTCCACATTGGTATTCATGATCCCATTCTTCAATACATTCATTTTCTTTTGCTACTTTTGAAATCTCAATCCATCTTAAACCGGTCAATTCTACAAGCTTTTGGCATAAAGTTGATTTTCCAACTCCTGGTGTTCCTGTTACCAATATATTTGGGGCAATTCTCTTTGCATTCGCCATAATGTGAATTATATATTTATTTTCATATTTATTTACTTTTATACGATATGATAACCTCAATTTTAATTTTCCGTAACCTTACGAAGCAAACCGAACAGTACCAACCATAGATAATAGATACACAAAGGGTAATAGATGGTCAACTCGAAACGCGCCGATTTGCGCGCCCTCCGGCAGGTTTAGTCACAACTAAATAAAAAAGGCGCGCACTTTAAATGTGCTAGTTATTTACTGTTTTT